TTAAATTCTTTTGTTTAATCATGTGATAATAATTTTGTTTAGATTTCAATTCTTTAAAAAAAAATTGTTTAGATGTGAATTTAAAATTTCTATTTACGCTTGTAGTTTTTTCACCATTTAATATCGTATATATCAAATTATGTTATTTTCTAATACCATATCTATTGTACAAGAAATAATTTCAATGGAAAAGACATTAACGATTTATATGTTTTAGTTTTATATTTTAAATTTTAATTATGTGATGAGGATGATTTTGATGAGATACATTATTATTATGGATAATTTTTGGATTGAAGTGAAGTTTTTCATGTTGTTTAATGTTTTAAATTTTTATTTAGATGTAATTATGTGTATATAAAATTAAAAAATAAATAGAATATATAAAAAAGTAAAAAACTCGGGTTGACCCCGGTTGAACCGGTCTAACCATGACCCGAATGTCTCGCCGGTTTAATGTCCGGTCCGGTTCTGATAACATTGGAAGAGAGAGAGACGTAGGACTAGTAAAAATAAAAAAATAAAAAAGAAAGGAGAGAGAGAGAGAGAGAGAGAGAGAGAGAGAGAGAGAGAGAGAGAGAGAGAGAGAGAGAGAGAGAGAGAGAGAGAAAGGAGGAAAGAAAAGGAAAGAAAGAAAAGGAGAGAGAGAGACGTGAGGGTGAGGGGATGAGAGAGATAGTAGTCAAATGACTGATATAGAGTGAAATGTGGGATCATATTTATATTTTCCATAACTAACTACCTTAATATAAATAATAATTAAGGATATTTATGTCAATAGAAAAATAATTTAATTTAATTTATATTACATTTATTGGTCAAGGAATCTATAGCTATAATCAACTAATAAAATGGACCCCTAGCCATATAAGTTCCAAATAAGGGGTCCAGCTAATTATCCCATTATCTCCTATCACGCCTCTTTCTCCTTCATTAGTTAATTAATTAATTGGGGTTTTTTTTTATGTTTAAGTTTTATAGTATTTTTATTATTTTTTAAATGATTTTTTATACATCTTTTTTTTAAAAGTTAAATTTATTAAAATAAAAATTATTTTTTACAAATTGAAATTCACTATAAACTTACAAAAAACCATTATGTGATTATGGTATTCTGTTACGGAAATCCCTTATAAAGTTATCGAAAATTTGTATGTAATTAATAAAAATAACTCTATAATTAATGATAACCAATCTATAAATTAACGAAAATCTCTATATAATTAGCAAATTCCATTAAAAAAATTCACTAAAAATTTATCAATTAACAAAAACCACTCTATAATTAATGAAAACCACTCTGTAATTAACGAAAAATCACTATGTAATTAACGAGTTTCATTACAAAAATTCAGTAAAAACTTATCAATTAACGAAAACCACTCTGCAATTAATGAAAACCGCTATGTAATTAATGAAAATCATGTAATTAACAAATTTCATTACAAAAAATCACTATAAACTTATCAATTAACAAAAACCACTCTATAATTAATAAAAACCACTCTGTAATTAACGAAGATCACTATGTAATTAACGAGTTCCATTACAAAAATTCAGTAAAAAATTATCAATTAACGAAAACCATAATGAAACCACTATGTAATTAATGAAAATCACTATGTAATTAACAAATTTCATTACAAAAATTCACTATAAACTTATCAATTAACAAAAACCACTCTATAATTGCAGAGTGGTTTTCGTTAAACAAACAGGTTGCGGGCAAGGCTAATAACGCTCAGGAAGTCTTTCTGGTGGAAACGAGCTCTTCGTCGCCGTCAATGGCAAATCTGCCGCCCATTAAGGTGAGAACTGAAGGTTACAATCAGACGGCTGGGCTGGATGAGCAGTTCTCTCATGTGAGCATTGCTTCGGGATTGGCAAATGCAGCTCCGCCACCTCTTCCTAATATTAGCGCCGCCGCCGCCACATCAGGTGGAGGAGAAAACGTGAATCGGGTAATCTCAAATATGAGATGATGAGAGATCGGAGAAGTCAGATCATGGAACGGTGGCGGCGACAAGGCTGAGGAAGCCACCATTGCCATTGCCATTGCCATTGCAACAGGTGCAGAGGAAGCTTGCTGATATTCATTGCCATTATAGTGTGTGTGTGTGAGAGAGTGAGAGAATGAGTGTGTGTGTGAGAGAAAGTAGATTTCAAATCAATGAATCGATGAAAATAATCAACATTAATTTTAGTTATATATATATATATATATATATATATATATATATATATATATATATACCAAAAGATTTAGATAAAAAATAATGAGGTTTATAATGGTGATAATTAATTATTTTTTATTAATAAAAATTGTTTTGGATTTATTTTAAAAATGTGAAATAAATTTGGACATGTTGTAACTACACTTTTGTGATGAGGGGAGTTTGTCAAATTTTCCCTGAAATTATATCATAAGGGCTATTTTAGGAAAAATATAAGAAATGAATTTATTTGCAAAACTGTTTTTGTCTGAATATATGTGTATTTAATCCTCCTTAAAGGTCGTGGTGTAAAGAGATAAAAGTGGTGAAAACAACATGCTCTTTAATATTTTGTTCAGCACGTCTCTTTGATATTTTGTTCAGCTATTGCAAACTAATAACCGACCTATCTTAATCAAGGTTGTAAAAAGGTGGGAATCGAATACGAATCGGTAAAGCACCGCCTCAAGATTAATCGGTGAGGCGATGATTAATCGATGATAAATTGAAAATAAATCATTTTTTTTTAAATTTAATGCAATATAATTTTAGATATTATATATAAATACAAAACATATATAAAAATATATTTAAATATGATTTTATCCCCATCATTTATACATTATAATCCCATAATAAAATTTTAATAATAATAAAATCATAATATAATAAAAATCCTTACAAAATAAAAATAAAACTAAAATCTTGTGCATCTAAACATATGCTCGAACATTGCAAGCATATATATCATTATGTCCTTTAAAAATAAAATAAAGTATAAAATCATTTTTTTATGGGTTAACTTCAAGAAATTTCCTAAACTTTGGACGTTTTTGCACTTTACTCTCTGAACGGAAAAAAGTTGCACGGGCATACCTGAATTTATTAATTTGTAGCACCAGAGCAGAAATTGTCCATTTTTAGCAAAAAGAGACTGAAATCCACAACATATGAGAAGAACATGATTAGAGCCGAGATAAATTGGTCTTTTCCTCATACACCTATTTTCTTCCTTTTTTTAATAAATATAAATAAATTTAAAAAAAAAAAGAAAAAAAAAAGAAAAAGAGAAAAGATTACATCTTCTTCACGCACCACCACCAAAAACCAAATTACTCTTCGTCCTTCTTTAGCCCACCGCCGCCCACCGCCCGCCGCCACCGCCTTTAATTCGCCGGTTGCCTGCTTTGCGACACTCTATCACCAGTTAACTCTGCTTCGCAGCCCTCCGCCGCCTCTGCTTCGCGGCCCACCGGAAATAGAGGACATAAACCTCCCATTCACCGGATGAGAAAACTTCTGCACCATCCATATCGCCGTCGATTGGCAGTGATGCCTAGCCTCACATAATCCGGCGGTGATTCTTTCCAAATTCACTAATTGAATGTGAGGGGATTTGTACTCTTAAATCTGTCCGGCGGCAGATTTGGTGGTGGTGGTGGTTTTAGAAAAGAAATTGGCCGCGGCGGCGTCGCAAGGGGTTGTTGGGTATAGGCGGAGGAATTGGACATTTGGACGAGGTGTTGGTGGAGGAATTGGTTGTGGAGTTGCAGGTGATAGTGGAGGAATTGATGGTGGAGTCGGTGGAGGCTTAGGCGTTAGTATAGGTGGCGATGTTGGTGGCAGATTTGGTGGTGGTGGTGGTGGTGGTGGTGCGGCGGCCGAGCAGATTGTTGAATGACCATTTCAACCAAAAGCTTAAGTTATTAGTGAAATGTATCATTTAGTATTAATATCTCCAACACGCCCCACAAGTGCAGGGGAATTACATTTGAAGCCTTGCACTTGAAATATTTGAATTGGGTGGCGGTGGGATTCGAACTCAGGACCTTTCATTTGGCCTGGCTCTGATACCATGTTGAATGACCATCTAAACCAAAAGTTTAAGCTATTAGTGAAATGTATCATTTAGTATTAATATCTCCAACACACATGTGGTAGTGGTGGTGATGCGGCGTCGGAGAGAGGAAGGTGACGAAGCATACCTTTTCTCTTTCTTTTTTCCCTATTTCTTTGTTTATTCTTTTTCTTTTTCTTTTGAGATTATGGATTTTTCATATTGTTTTTTTAGTAATTTGATATGATAATTTCAGATGGTGGTGTGGCGGTGGAGAGGGATGGTGGTGGCGGTGGTGTGAAAAATCTTCCTTCCCCTATTTTGCAGCAGAGGCAGACGAAGAAGATGATGGGTGGGCTTTTTTTTCTTTTTCTTTTTTTTTTTTCTTTTTCCTTTTTTCTTTTTCTTTTCTCTCTTTTTTTTTATTCTTTTATCTGAAAATCTTGTGAATCGACGAGATTGCCCCTTCATTTTCATGTGTGAGTTGCACGTGTGCAATTCAGGCATAAATTTTGCTAAAAATGGATTTTTTAATGTCGGTGCAACAATTTAACAAGTTCATGTATGCCCGCGCAACTTTTTTCCGTGTAGGGGTAAAGTACAAAAACGTCCAAAGTTTAGGGGATTCTTTGTAGTTAACCTTTTTTTTTATTGAAAGCCCAACTTTTTCTTATTTAGGAAAAAAAAAACCAATTTTTAACCGGATCCGCCTACAAGGTTTGATCGCCTCGGACTGCCTAAAATTTCCTCATAGGCAAAAACCGATTTTTCAAACACACGTTAAAAATGAAAATGGTAAATATTTTAAAGAGTAAAAAGCAGTTTGCCCCCTAAACTAAGGGCAGATTTGCACTTTACCCCCCAAACAAAAAATATTTGCACGTTTTTACCCGAACTCGTTAATTCGTTGCACGGTGCCCCCTGAACTAATTTTTCCGGCAATTTTGACCGAAAAGTTAAAACATGTGCCTTGCACGTGACATTTGCAGGGGTATATTCGTCCATTCACTTACATCTTTAATATTAAATATAAATTATTCTTTAAAAAAACAAAAAAAATAAAAAATAAAAACAAAACAAAGAAAACAGAAAATAAAAAAATATTTTGTCTTCTTCACACATTCGCCCACTGTGCCACCGCCATCCCAAACCCATCCCAGCAAAAAAATTCCGTCACCCACCGGCCGCCGATGCCATTACTTGTCTCGCTTTCCTCCTCCATTTGCCGATCGAGTCTTCGACCACCTTCTCTCTTTCCGAAAAACACACACTAAAACCTCGCCTCTCTGTAATTTCTGTATATCTAATTTCTCCGATTTGTGTGTGTGTGTGTGATTGCAGGAAGTCGGCGGTAGATTCAGGCCGTATTCGGAAATAACAGGGGGGTTTTTTATCGCTGTAAAGAACAGATTGATTGGAAACGATTTCTTTCAAAATGCTAGAAAAATCGAGAAAGATTGATAAAAAATTAAGGTTTTTTTTTTTTTTTTTTTATGAATTGGTTAATGGTATAGTCACTGATGTTAGTTGAGTTAGAAACTTACCAATTGTTTGCTGCTTTAGGCAATCAAGAATGCTCGGGAGAGGGATAGGAGATCTTTGCTAAGAGCTGTAAGTTTTTCGTCGGAATTTTTTTTTTATTTTTTTCCGATTTTTTTTGTATGTTATATTCTTGTTTCTGATCAGTATTTTGGTAGCGTATACTGTAGAGTCGGAAAATTTTGGAAATTTATTAAATTAGTTTTTGAGAATTTTTTTACAGGGATAGATGGGGTTTGGTAAGGAAGGTGGGTGATGGATGAAATGCTTCTTTTTCCTTTTTTTTATTTTTTATTTTTTTTAATATCTATTTGTATTTAATATTAAAATGCAAGTGAAGGGACGAATTTACCCCTCAAAATCTCACGTGCAAAGCACATGTTTTAACATTCCGGTCAAAATTGCCGGAAAATTGAGTTTAGGGGGCACCGTGCAACGAATTAACGAGTTCAGGTAAAAACGTGCAAATTTTTTTGTTTGGGGGGTAAAGTGCAAATCGGTCCTTAGTTTAGGGGGCAAACTGCTTTTTACTCTATTTTAAACTGCCTCTGCCTTATACACCGATTAATGGGCCGTCGTAGACCTGACCACCGGTTCGGTCAGAACCGGAACCGGAACCGGAACCGAACCGGGGTCAACGGTTTTAGAACCGAACCGGAACCGGTTTGACCGGAACCGGAACCGGAACCGAAAAAACCGGTTCGGTTCCGGTTCCTCATTTTTGGAACCGGGAACCGACGGTTAGAACCGCGGTTCTAACCGTTTGAACCGGCTTTTAAATAAAAAAAAAAAATAATTAATTTTCTCTCTCTCTCTCTCTCTCTCTCTCTCTCTCTCTCTCTCTCTCTCTCTCTCTCTCTATATATATATATATATATATATATATATATATATATATATATATATATATATATATATATATATATATTTAAGTATTAAGAAAAAAAATTTACGTATTTTTTTAAAATATAAACACTTTAAGAAAAATATATTTTTAAAAGTTTATTTTAAGTTTTCTAAAGTATTTTTGAAGTTATATATATATATATATATATATATATATATATATATATATAAAATAAATAAAAAATTTATTATTAAGAACCGAACGGTTCTAACCGGGAACCGAACCGGAACCGATTAGGAACCGAACCGCAAGGAACCGTATTTTTTCGGTTCGGTTCCAGTTCCTCCAAAATCGGAACCGGAACCGGCAGTTCGGAACCGGAACCGGAACCGAACCGAACCGTGGTCAGGTCTAGGCCGCCGTAGACCGCTTTTTGGAATACTGATCTTAGGAAGAAATAGGTAATGTGATATGACAACTATCGGTCAAGAAAAACAGAGAAAAAGAAAAAAGAAAAAAAAAGTAGAAACAAAAGGAAAGGATTGGGCAATTTGTAGGAAAATGCTAGCAGGATGCGACACCCATTTACCGTTGACCATATAAATTGATGTTAATAATTGTTGTTATATTTATGTTATAAATAATAGTGTTTACGAATGGACATCTAACAATCAGAATCATAATGCAACACCTTAATCTCAAAATAATAGTCGTCTACTCGGTCTTGTTTGGATCCACAGGAGCAGCTGTTGGCTTCATCATCGGCGACCACATATCTATAAACTGCGGTTCCTCGACCACAACTTCAACAGCATCCACCGGCAGAGAATGGCTCCCAGATGCACCAACCATTATTAAAGGCTCATCATCAACAACAACAACAACAACAACAACCGCAGCAGTTCCGTACAACACAGCGCGGATCTCTCTCTCCCAATTCTCCTACACTTTTAATCTGAATCCAGGTCAGAAACTTATCCGCCTTCACTTCAACCCCACCACTTCCTACAACGGCTTCGATGACTTGTTCACCGTCGAAGCCGGCCCTTACACCCTACTCTCCAACTTCAGCGCCTCCATTACTGCACGTGCTCTTTCTCTCACTACTTTTGCTAAGGAATTCTGCATCATCATCACACACCAGAATCACCTTCCCTTCAACATTATCTTCTCCCCTTCCCCTTCTTCTTCTTCCTCCAAAAACACCTACGCTTTCATTAATGGCATCGAGATTATCTCAGTACCTTCCACCCTTTCCTACTGTCATAGTGGAGATGCTGGTGTCCAATTGGTTGCCACCAATTCCGTTATCCACATCGATAATTCTACCGCACTTGAAATTGTTCACCGACTCAATATCCGCGGCATGTTTGGGATGTCGGCAAACAAGCTTGACAACAATAATATCACCTGGAAAATACCTGTGGATGTTGGTTTCAGGTACTTGATCAGGCTTCATTTCTGCGAGCAAGGACTCCAAATGGCGCAGGCTCAGCTCAAGGACTTTACACTTTTCATTAATGACATGATTGCCACCACCAGTGAGGACATACACCGACAAAGGAAACATCAAGGCATCCTCTGGTATAACAACTACATGGTGATGGTTAATGGGAACAAACACGAGGGTAAACGTGATATCTTCGTTTCCTTGTATTCTAAACATGAATTTATGGATGGACACAGTCCACTTGAAGGTTTTGACATATTCAAGTTGAGCAACAATGACAATAGTCTTGCCAGCCCAAACCCCTTGCCCCCCCCAACACGAGATTCGTCGTCGTCCCGGGCTATCCGATTTCTACTCTCGGTTCTTGGTCGCAGAAATGCGGTTGCAACTGCTGTCATTGCTGTAATTTGTCTGCTAAGTGTCATTGTTCATATGCTGCCGCAAAATTTGGGGGATAATTTTACCCTCGAGGAGGAAGAGAAGCCACCGGCAAGGACTAATAGACTTTGCCGTTGCTTTTCACTAGCTGAGATCCTGTCGGCCACTGATGGCTTCAATGAGGCATTGGTTATTGGAAAGGGTGGATTTGGCAAAGTCTACAAAGGGTTTGTAGAAAACATGCAAGAGATTGTGGCCATAAAGCGATTAAAACCAGACTCGAAGCAAGGGAAGCGTGAATTTTGGACAGAGATTGAAATGCTTTCTGAGCTTCGACATGTCAATCTAGTGTCCCTGATTGGCTACTGCAATGAGCAAAATGAAATGATCCTTGTTTATGAGCACATGCCCTGTGGAACACTGGCTGACCATCTCTACAAACTTGCTAGGAAAGGCAATGTTTGGTTACCTCTCTCTTGGAAGCACCGACTTCAGATATGCATTGGAGCTGCCAGAGGGCTGGACTATCTTCACACTGGAAACGGAATCATACATCGTGATGTAAAGGCTTCAAATATATTGCTTGATAAAAAATTTGTAGCTAAGGTTTCGGATTTTGGCTTAGCCAAAATTGAAATTGGAAGCCAAGCTAGCACAAATATTGTTAAAGGCACATTTGGGTATTTTGACCCAGATTATCTTAGAACTCGTAAACTAACTACAAAGTGTGACACGTATTCCTTTGGTGTGGTGTTGTTAGAAGTATTGTGCGGGAGACCAGCAGTGGAGCCATGTGCTGAAGAAGATAAACAAAGCCTAACCATGTGGGCTCGAGATTACATTAGTAAGGGACAAGTTGAGCAGATTATAGCTCCAAGTCTCAGGCGGAAAATCTCGCCAGATAGCCTGAAGACCTTTGTGCTGGTCGCAGGAAGATGCTTGCGTGACGATCCGAAGAAAAGGCCAGCAATAGCAAACGTTGTACTAAAACTTGAGGTTGCACTTAAGCAGCAAGAGAATGCAGAATCTTTGGAACCGAGCGAGATAACTAGTGTTGCTGATGGTGTTCTATCCACTGTTAGAGTTCAGCATCAGGAGAACCATATTCCTTTGGTACCAAATGAGATAGCAGCAAATGTTGCTAATGTGTTGCCTCAACAGGAGAATGTGATAGCTCCAGTAACCAATGTGAGAACAAATGCGGTTGACGCCATGCAGGAGAGAGAAAAATCTTTGTCACCAAATGAGATAGCACGACAACTGATGACGGCCTCTTCTAGTGTGCAAAATGTTGCATCACCCTTGAAAGAAAAAAATAAAAGTGAAATGATTAGTTCTGGAAAAAAAGCAATGCATAGGCTATCACATCTTTTGCCGCCATGGAATGCAGTTTGGAGCTCTGCACTAAAACCATCAAAGAGAAAGGATCCAGCCAGCGTCTCGATATCAGGTATTGATTCGGTAACAGTAAGTTTAGGAAACATATCTTTCCACATGTTGCTAAAAAGCACATTAATTGCTTTCGACATGTAACTTGTTTAATGAACAATAGTACTGAAACTGGTGTATTTTTGCAGCACCAATATCACGTAGGAGTAGATTTATGAAATTGCGACAAGACAACGCTGTTCCTGACAAGGCAATAATAGGTGGAAGCAATGAGTTGATTGTAACTCCCAATTTAAGGATATTCTCCTTTTCGGAACTGAAGGCTGCCACTAGAAATTTCACAAGTGATTCATTTCTTGGAGAAGGTGGGTTTGGGAGCGTTTATAAAGGCTGGATCCATGAGAAATCAACCTCCCAAAATGAAAGAGAAACCGTAGTTGCTGTTAAGCGGTTGAGTTCTCAAAGCATGCAGGGATTTCTAGAGTGGAAGGTAATTAGTAACTACATTGACAAGTTTCTGAATTGCAGTACTATTTTTGTTGTCTGTATTCACTTTGCCATCACACTTGTGTTTTGATTATGCTCAATGTGCAATGATATCCTGTCATACTAATTAAGTCGGTAGATCAGGCCATGCCATGATAATTGACCATACATAACGACGAGATACATACGCGATCTGAGATTCTTTAAATTATTCATGTAATTGTTAATAACAAGATTAAAAAAAAAATTTACTTTATTGAATGTTTGCAGGCTGAGGTGGAATTCCTTGGAAGACTTTCTCACCCCAATCTGATAAAGCTGTTGGGCTACTGTTTGGAGGACCAACACTTGCTGCTCGTGTATGAATTTATGCCAAGAGGAAGCTTAGAGGCGCAACTTTTTAGAAGTATGAAATTAAATTCCTCTACCGATCGATGTGGTCGACTTAAATGATTCATTAATTATTGGAATAGGTCCACAAAATATTGTGTTAATATTGGGTTTTGGTGTTTAGGAGGTTATGCATTTCTGGTGCTTCCATGGGAGATTAGACTCAAGATATTAATTGGAGTAGCTCGTGCTGTGGCATTCTTGCATGGATCAGATGTACAAATTATCTTTAGAGACTTGAAGACCTCAAACATATTGCTGGATGAGGTAATTAAGAAGCTCTAGACATATTTCATTGATAAGTTGGTGTTTTTTGTTGACATTAATTGGTGTATTAATTTTATCTCAGTCATACAATGCTAAGCTCTCGGACTTTGGTCTGGCAAGAGACGGTCCGATGTCCGATTATTCGCATGTGACAACTCAAGTATTGGGGACATACGGTTATGCCGCCCCTGAGTACATAGCAACAGGTAAAACAATATGCAAAAAAAGAAAAAAAAAAAAAAAAAAAATATATATATATATATATTGAAAGCATGCATGTAGTGTATAGTTGATGCTGATGGATGATTGAGTTCTAATAGCTAGGGGCATGTTTGTTTGTTTGTTTGTTTGTTTAGGACACTTGTACGTAAAGAGTGATGTATATAGTTTCGGTGTGATCATAGTTGAAATGCTGACTGGGTTACGAGCATTAGACAAAAAACGTCCATCTGAACAACATCGTCTTGTGAATTGGATAAAGCCATATTTACGCAAGCCAAATAAGTTGAAGACTGTAATGGATTCACGTTTACAAGCAGGATATCCATCTAAATCTGCTTTTGAGATTGCTCAGCTTGCTCTAGATTGTCTCGAAATCGAACCAAAAAAGAGACCTTCCATGCAACAAAGTGTTGAGATACTTGAAAGATTAATCGACAAGAAACCTAGATACCCTATAGCAGTAAACTTTAGTAATCTATAGATCTAGCTAGTATTTATACTTGGCCAGAGATTGTACACTAACTTGTACTGTACTACCTTTTTTTTTTTTTTTTTTTTTTTTCTGATGCAATATAAATATATAATGATTGCCTTGTTGTGTGTAATTGGTGCTACCTAGCCAGTGAATTTTATTTTGTAATTTTAGTGGGAAGTAATTGTGTTGTATTTGTATCAGCTTAATCTGAAACTGTGCTTGTTTAAAGATTTGACTGACTGTAAGAAGAGTTTTCTTTTTTTTTTTTTTTCTTTCCTTTATGATGAATATTGTAAGAAGAATGTTTTGAAAAAGTGTTGCTTTGTGGAGATTAGCAATAACAGCAGGATCATATCATTATATTACACATTGATAGTCATGGTTGCCCAATCATCGAGATTAAGTAAGTGTGTACATGATAAATTTAGGGAATTGCTATTTGCGGTTTGAAAATTACTATTTGTTGTTTATAACAAAACCCCCTAAAAAGACACTTTATCTCTCTAAAACCCCAAAACTTCCCAAAAAAATCCAAAAACCCCCCAAAACGCGTAAAAGTCCAACGTGGGCGCCCATTCATGCAATGCATGCCCAAGTTGGGCGTGCAAGCTGCATTTGGGCACCCGAGTTGGGCGTCCAGTGCAATTTGTTTTTTTTTTTAATTGAACGCCCATCTTGGGCGTTTGAACATATTTTTTTGCGAAAAAAAAACCCTACAAATCGATTTGTAGGGCTTTTTAACATGAAATTGGTTCCGTAATCAACCTACCGAATGCATATTACACATAAAAGAGTCGAAATTACATCAAAAAATCGAAGCCCAACCCTTCTTCAAGCTTGATTTCGAATTTTCGATTTTTTTTTTTTTGCTATTTGCAGTTTTGGGGGGTTTTTGAATATTTTTAAAAGTTTTGGGGGTTTTGTTATAAACCGCAAATAGCAATTTTGTGACCGTAAATAGCATTTCATTAAATTTAATGGTAAAAAATAATGGGCTATTAGTAAGAACCTCTGTAGTGTTTTTTTAATATGCGGTTTTTGTGCATAAGACCCTAATCAACCATCTTTATTATTGTAGGTTTATGGGCTATATTTTTTTTGTCAATGAGTCTATTCTTTTAATATGTATTATAAATAAAGGAAAAATTCATATATATGATAAAATTACCAAAATTACCCCCAACTCTTTTACATCTAATTTTTAATTGTAACCCAATTTAATCAATTTTGACCACAAAAATAATTTTGACTTTTTTTTTTAAATTAAAAAATTATTGTACTGCCGCCGGTCTCCGGCGTTGACTTTTCGATTTTATTTTATTTCATTTTTTTCTGGTTTGTTATTTCTCCCGCCGGTCTCTGGCATTGATTTTTTTTAGTGATTTTTTTTTTTTTTTTTTTTCACGTCCGTCGCTAAACGTTGACCGTAATTGTACTGTCATTAACAACAGTAGTTATACTGTCGTTGACAGTACAATTAGAGTCAACGACGATATTAATATTTTTTTGGCTTAATTTTATTTGATTTCTTGACAAGTCAACGTAATTGTATTATTGTCGCTGACAATAAAATAACTATAAACACAATAATATTACTATCAACCACATCAAATTTTTCTTTTTTTTTTGTTTTTTGTTTTGTTTGAGTTGTTGACGTAGTCATTATATTGAATGATTGAAATATTGGAGTTAGCATTTCTTTTTAAAAAAAAAAAAAAAAAAAAAAACCCGAGGGGGGCCGGGGGAAGGGGGGGGGGGGGGGGGGAATTATTTTTGAAAAAATTTTTCCCGGGGTTCAAGGGGGGAAACTTAAAACCCCCCCCTTGGAAACCCCCTTGGTATTTTGGAAATTCCCAAAATCCCAAAAAATGCCCTTAAGGGGGAAATTAAAAGGGACCCGAAATTCCGGGGGGTTTTAAAAACCCAAAGGGTTTATGGGGGGGGGAGCTCAAATTATTTTATGCAAGAGGAGTTGATGAAAAATTAGGTTTTGATCAGAAAGTTAAAAGTGGGAAGATTGTTGGATGTTTGATTTTTGAGTCAAATATAATTAATTGTTTTGACTTTCTAAATTTTTTTATTATTTCCGAATTTACTATTATTATAGGATTTATTATTTTAATTCGGATTTATTATCTAGAATTACTGGGCGGTTATTGTTAGTTTTGTGGGTAGTTATTTAAGCACATGTTTAATTAATCAATTAACTCATTATCTCACTAACTCATTATCTCTCCTAGTGTGTTTATTACGTGCAAGGCAATGAGCTCTTGGACTCTATAAATAAAAGAACTCAGTTCATTTCTCACCTTTCTGCAGAGACTTGAGAGCACAGAGCTTCGGGTGTTGGCAACATCTTCGACAACACCCTATTTACCTTATGAATTTCTCACTACAGAATTGAGTCTCTTTTGTATTCAATATCATTGGATACTACTGATTTGTATTCTTAGAGTGCTCCTAAGCAATATCATCATAGATTCTAGGAATTGGTTTACGAAGAAATCAACTTGTGATTTCTTCTTAGAAGAGAAGATCTTGGCTTCTCATTTGTGTTCTTTTGAATACTGAATTATATTCCTAGAGAGTTGTTAAGCTATAGAGTCTAGGAATTGATTTACGAAGAAATCAACTTGTGATTTCTTCTTAAAAGAGAAGATATTGGCTTCTCATTTGTATTCTTTTGAATACTGTTTTTCGCCTATGAAGGCACCATCCACAAGTTATATACTTGTGGATAATGATTTAAAACTTGTGTCATTTATATTCCGCTGCAAAATCTTTATCAATACAAGTTTTTGTTTATCTTCATGTTTAAAGATCTCTGATTTTATACAAGTTGTATTTAAATTACACGAATTCGGAGGCATTGAATTCTTTCATTCCCCTATGTGATTATTGATCCCCCAGTTCTCTCAATTATGCAAGCAATTAACATAGGTTACTAACCTCATATGCTAAATTAATCATAACACGCTTCCGCGTGTATCATGATTATATTATTTTAAACTGAGTTAATGTATTCCTACGCAATTAAATCTAGAACAAAGTATATCATTAAACACAATATAATTAAACCACAAATATAATTAAAAACTAAATAAAAGATTCACGTAAAGTAAACATATTTTGTGAATTCTACACTCAACAAGAATGTGTATCCTAAAGGCACTCAATGGTAGCTTTGGAAAAGTAGCATAGAATATATATCTAGTCCTCTAAATTGAAGATAGTTGAGAATCGTTTTACTGTGTTCCAGCACCCGACGCCTGAATTAGACTGAACTTACTATGCGTACAACACATAGCATATATCCGAGGCATAAGGAATTGCGCCCTCATCCTCTTAATCTCATAAAATTTCTTAGGATATTGATCATTAGATAAAGGGAATTCATGTCTAAAAGGTAAAGCACCTTTCTTCGAGTCTGCGTGTTAAAACGACCGGGAAAGGAAGTTGTCGTTATAACTTGATTGTGATAGCTCTATCAACTTATTTTTTGATCTTGCATAAGCTTGATCCTAAGAATATTAATCATGTTACCCTAGTCTTCATATTGAATTAACTCAATCTATAGTGTCGTTCTGTTTTTCACCGTTGGAAATAATTTTTCAAACGAATATAAGAGTTAGAAAAATGCTCTTTTGGTGTAGCGACAATTTATAAAACTACAAATTTCAAGTAATTTTGAACTCACATACATGCATCCTCGTTTTACCGACATTGTTTTCATGTAAGCAACACATAAAATATAGGGGCAATTGCAAAAACAACCATGACAAGAACACTTAATTAAAAGAGGAACATCTTACTTTTCTTCCTTCCAAATATATCCACACCCATTCAAACTTTATTTGCAACTAAGGAAAAGTCTCTAATAGTAATATATACCAAAATTACCCATAACTCCTTCAATCCCCAATTCACACCCAATTTCATGATTTAAACTCTACTTTAGTCTCAATTTCGCCAATTAACCAATTTCGACCTCAATTTAAACCGTCAATACCGGTGTTCGGTGTTGGCCTTTTTTTCGGTATTTGTTTTCCGGCCGGTCTCCGGCGTTGACAGTAAAATAACTGTGTTGGTTGTTAAAAAAAAATCAACGGTGGAGAACAACGGTCAACTCCGGCAACCGGCCGGTAAAAATTCCAGCAAACAGAAAATTTTTCAAAAAACAAAAAAAAAAATCAACGCAGGCGATCGGCTGGAAAAAAATAATTCCATAGAAAAAAAAATTGAAAAAAATTGTGAAAATGGGGTGAATGTGATATATTTGTTTAATTTGGGGTCAATGTGTATTATTGGTTAAGTTAGAGTTTAAAGAAAGAAAGTGGTTCAAATTATATCATAAGAGGTATTTTAAAAAAAATATATAGTGAATCAAAAAAATATATATATATATATAGGAATAGATTTATTTGTGAAATTGTTCTGGACATATGTGCATTTAAGTCTCTCGTTGGGTTCTATGCAATTCGGCTTAAAATATAAGGATAATAATAGGGTAAATGAAGTGATATATATTTTGAATAATTTTATTTTTGAAAACATTTCACAACAAAAAAAAATTAAAAAAAAATGATAGTTGATATTTCAGGGAAGGACGCTGCAGACAACAATATCTGGGTGTGTACTGTGAAGTAAGTGAAAACGGCCTTATATAAATAACTGGTCCCATAGCCTGCATGCATTCACGTGCCATTGCTGCCTTTGCCGTTAAATTACACCATCACCCCCTCTCTCTCTCTCTCTCTGCATTTCTTTTGCTTTGGATTCTAAATGCCCCCACACACACACAACACAGCTAGCTGCTCTTCCAAATTAACTTATTATATATATATTAAGTAATTCAAATTGAGTGAACTAGTACTGCACACCCCACGTGTGTCTATGACACGTGCGAATCACCCTCCAATAGCATCAACATCTTTGCCTGTCCACTTATTGGACTGTAGTGCCCACAATGTCTGCATGCCCACCTATTTACTACTCTCCCTGCAATACAAAACAAACTTCTCTCTCATGATGATTCAATAAGAGAGAGAAATAAATATATATACATATATATAATTAGCAGCTGAGAGAGAGCTAGAGAGAGAGATTGTGTGTGTTTTTTCTTTGATTCAAGTTTTATATCTCTTTCTATTGTTTTTCATTTGCCAATTTACAGCGAGCGATCAAAGACCAATATGTTTGATGGTGTGTCGTCGTCGAGTAGTGAGCAGTTCCACCAATTCATGGCGGCAAGAACAACATCATCTTCTTCGTCACTAATAGCCAATAATTATCCTCTGATGTCGTCTTTCAGTAATCTTCATCATCATCATCAGGAAAACCCATCATCTAATTTCTCTGCTGGTTTTGATAATACATACTCTTCTTCTTCACCTTCTCTAGTACTGCACCACCACCACAACCACCACCACCACCAAGAATCATCGCCCCCCAATAACAACACCACCACCAAAGAGGACACTGATATTGATGTTGATGTTGATGTTGATGTGAAGCATGTTGTCATCGGATCCATAGATCCATGGTCCGATGAAGAGGTCCTTGCCCTTCTCAGACTCAGATCCACCATGGAGATTTGGTTCCCCGATTTCACTTGGCTACATATTTCAAGGTCTTTTTTCTATTTTTTTTTCTGTACTATGATGAAAGTTACTTTTTTGGAATCTTGAAAACACCATCATCAATCTTGATCCTCTTTTTTTTTTTTGTTTGTGGGATGACTTTCTTAATTATCTTAGTGATCTTTTTCTTGTTTGTTTGAGCTAGCTGCTAGCTAGCTTGCTCTTTTTTTTTGTTAAATAGTAACTAAGTGCATATCTGAGGTTATTCACACTAGCTAGTCCTAATTTATTTGTCCATGATAACTATTATAATAATTGTGTAGGAAACTTTCGGAGCTCGGGTTCAAAAGGAGCGCAGAGCAGTGCAAGGACAGGTTCGACCAGGAAACCAAACACTTGAATACTAGTACTAATGTTAACTTCAACAAGAACAACTACAGGAATATTCTAATGAGCGAACTCGACGAATTTTATCCCCCCGCTGATCAAGAACAACCTCCGGTTTCACCTCCAAAACAGATCGATCAGAAATTATTGTACAAGAACGTTAATGTGGAATTAGAAAGTGAAGCGAATTTAGCACCTAACCCATCTCAAGAAAGTGAAGATGCAGTAATAATGACGACGACGACAAAGAAACCAATTAATAAGAGGAGGAAGAAGAAAAGGAAAGACAAGTTTGAGATATTCAAGGGTTTTTGTCAGGCAGTGGTGAACAAGATGATGGCCCAACAAGAGGATTTGCACAACAAGTTGATCGACGATATTGTGAAGAGGGACAAGGAAACTATTGCCAGGGACGAAGCTCGAAAAAACGAAGAGATGGAAAGGTTGAAGAGGGAGATGGATGTAAGGGCCAAGGAGCAAGCCATTGCTAGAGAGAGGCAGGCTGCTCTTATCGAATTCTTGAAGAAATTCACATCCCAAGAAGATGAAGATGAAAATATTGTCAACAACGAAGCTTTCAATTCTTTCGTTACTTCATCAGTACTTTGTCCTGACAAAGAAACAGCGGCCGCAGCCTCATCAACTACTACTACTACTGCTACTACTACAACTATCTTAACCGAACTACCGAGACAGATTTATAAGACTCCATCTCCGGTTAATATCGTCCACGAAGAAAGAGGTGGTGGAGACTTGGGCAAGAGATGGCCGAGAGACGAAGTGTTGGCACTGATAAACCTGAGGTGCAAGCTGAGTGGCAGCAGTAGTAGTAGTAATAGTAATGAAGATGTTGAACATGGAGAGATGGTGAGTGCAGCAAAGGGAATACCTCTGTGGGAGAGAATATCACAAGGGATGACGGAATTGGGTTACAAAAGGAATGCGAAAAGATGCAAAGAGAAATGGGAAAACATCAACAAATATTTCAGGAAAACAAAAGATAGCAACAAGAAGAGGTCTATTAACTCAAGGACGTGTCCTTACTTTCAGCAGCTCACCTCTTTATACAGCCAACCTGGAACAGTTTTACTTGTGGGGCCCCCAACTAATAATATTATTAATAATGTCCCGGAAAATTAAACCAGTAGTAGATACACTATGCCCCTTTATTAATTTTATTTCAACTCCATCGGCTTCTATTCTAAGTTTTGCTTCATCACTGAGCTTATAATTCCCTTTTTCTTTTCTTTTTTTTGTGAAAGACTAAAGTGTTATTTTAGATTATGTAAGTTATTCGCTTTCATTATTTATTTTATTCTCTAGCTAATTTAATTCGTTATCTATTAATTAAGTGATGGTTTGAGCATTTTTTTATGAAGGACTATGTTTTAGTCTTTAAATCGCTATTTATTTATCATTTATTTTTTCTAAAGTTTTATGGATAGTTGAGATTAGGGGTGGAAATTGGAATAAAATTTTCGAATTCTGTCAAATGAATGGTTTGATTTAAAACAATATTGTTTCTTAGTATTTTTATGTGCAATATTTGTTCGTAGAATCATTCATATCCGTAGAAATATTTTCTATGCAGTTAATTAGATTAGGAACATTTTAGTTTTAAATATAATGTTTTTTTCATGTCTATGAATTGTATTTTATATATAAAAATATATTTTTTATAAGCTTTTAGTAAAGTTTTAAATGCAAAATAATATGTTCTGAAAAAAGGATGGGTGTGTTTGCTAGCTAAAGCCATAGGTTATGAGATTTAACATAAGAGATGGTAAAACAAAATCTAGTTTTTTAACATAATAAAGAAAAAGATGAATTCATTAAAGAAAGATAATGAACATAACATTATAACTCTTCAACGGAAGAGAGAAAGATATCTATTCTTTTTTAGATAGAAAAAAATATATGTTGCCTAAGTTGGAGTAAAAAAAAAAAGGATAGTCGGAGACGGAGAAAAAGTGAGGAGCGTTGAAAGTAGAGAAAAAAAGAAAGGAATAGTAGTAGAAAAACAAAGATTTTTTTGAGAAGTAGTTTGTTAAAAGAAGAAGAAACTTAACACTAATTGAATTGGCAACATATTAGACACCCACTTATAATAATAGAAATATTAGTACATACTCTTTAAGACTGCAAAAACAACTTCTTCAAAATAAAATAATAAAATACGAATAAAAAAAGTTATTTAAAGTTTAAAAAAAATATTTATTATATAGGGGTATTCTTAAATACTAATGACACAAGTATTATTATATGAAAATTGTCATGAGATGTTCTGAACAGAGTCAAGTCATTCTTGATTTCTATAGGAAGCTCAAAATATACATTTTAGTATAAAAAATAATTTGAAAAATTAACAACTTTACAAATGAAGATAGAGAAAATACAAATAAGAACTTAGAATATAAAAAAATAACTTATTTTCATAATCTTTCCTAATAAATAATAGGGTAAATTACAATCATACCCCTGAGGTATGATTAAATAACTTTAACATCCCTATGGTATCGCTAATTACACTCACCCCTGAAACGTAGTTAAAAACTCTAATTGGATAATGCATTGGATACGTTATTCCAATAGGGTTCTAACAGACTATTACTTTTAGCTAGTGGTGGAGACAATATAGAATTATGGGGTGGCATGGCTCCACCAACATTTCTTACATCACCCATAGCGATCTTTGTTGTCTCCAGCACTTCCTGAAACCAATAGTTCGTTAGAACTCTATCGGAATAACGTATCTAATACATTATCCCATTAGAGTTTCTAACTACGTTTCAGATGGGGTGAGTGTAATTATCGATACCACAGGGACCTTAAAGTTATTTAAGCATACCTCAGAGGTGTGGATGTAATTTACACTAAATAATATTACGATGAAATCATAAGTTCTACGTACATTCATGCAAAAATTGCATGACATCACTCTTTAAGATTGACAAAAACACTTCTCCAAAATACAATAATAAGAACACACGTACAATATAAAGGTAATCACCGATACCAAAACAAAAATAGTATTATTTTTACTAACAAAAAAAATGGTCAACTTCTTATACAAATGGATCTTAGTTATCAAAGGATAAAAGGCAAGGAAAACATTGATGTCCAATTAGTAGAAATCTTGAATTGATAGTAGATTTTGAGTTATAGTTAATTTCATTAAAAAACAATCATACAAATGCGTGTAGGTAAATACCGTTTCATGAAGCAGCGGCTTTAACATAAATAAATAAACCAATTAATAATAATATAGTTAATTATCATTTGAAGATAAATAAATTATAGCACTAAAAAATCATATGCTTAAAATGATTCTAATTTTCCAAACACCAAAATAATAATGTATCAACAAAATTATGAATTATGATAACTCATTAAGAGCCATAATTGAGGCAATACAACTGTTAACCCCGAACAAAAATGACATAAGAAATCAATTTTTTTTTTACGAAGGACTATGTTTTAACCTTTAAATCGCTATTTATTTATCATTTTTTTTCTTAAGTTTTATGGACAGTTGAGATTAGGGTTGGAAATTGGAATGAAATTTCTGAATTTCGCCAATTCCCATCCGACAATATTTGAATTTGAACCGTACTTTTCATTTCGATTTCCGATTTTTCTGAATTTATTTGGAAATGAATCGGAATGGTATATAAAATTAGCAGAAATTCCGATTTCCAATCCGATTTTAGTTCTGAATATTTTTATGGTTTATGAAATAAATAATATAGTTTTATCATATATAGTTTGAAAAATTATACGTTTTAGTATAAAAAATAATTTGAAAAATTAACAACTTTACAAATGAAGATAGAGAAAAATACAAATAAGAACTTAGAATATAAAAAAATAACTTATTTTCATAATCTTTCCTAATAAATAATAGGGTAAATTACAATCATACCCCTGAGGTATGCTTAAATAACTTTAACATCCCTATGGTATCGCTAATTACACTCACCGCTGAAACGTAGTTAAAAACTCTAATTGGATAATGCATTGGATACGTTATTCCAATGGGGTTCTAACAGACTATTACTTTTAGCTAGTGGTGGAGACAATATAGAATTATGGGGTGGCATGGCTCCACCAACATTTCTTACATCACCCATAGCGATCTTTGTTGTCTCCAGCACTTCTTGGTTTATAAAATGAAATTGGTTTTATCATTTCGACTCTTTTATGTGTAACATGCATTGGGTAGGTCGATTACGGAACCAATTTCATGTTAAAAAGCCCTACAAATCAATTTGTAGGGCTTTTTTTTCGCAAAAGAATGTTCGAACGCCCAAGATGGGCGCCCAAGGCGTGTACGAACGCCCGTTCCGCCTTGGGCGGCCATCTTGGGCGTTCGAACATTTAAAAAAAAAAAAAAAAAAAAAAATTTTTGCACTGGACGCCCAACTTGGGCGTGCACTGCATGAATGGGCGCCCAAGTTGGGCGTTTACGCGTTTTGGGGGGTGTTTTTGGATTTTTTTGGAAAGTTTTGGGGTTTTAGTGAAATAAAGTGTTTTTTTGGGGGGTTTTGTTAGTAACCGCAAATAGCAATTTTCAAACCGCAAAAAGCAATTCCCTATATTTTATATGAAAATTATAAATATCGAAGGGTCAAGTAAATTAAAACTTTTAATTTAAAAAGATTAATTGGTGTCAGAAACTTTACGTTGCATTTTTACTTATATGAAAATTTATGTTTCAATTTGTTGTTCCTACATGTGTTTTATTTATTGTGTTTTGTCGAACTCTCTTTTCAATTTTCTTGCATTTTCCTGAAAAAAATTCTAAAAAAATTCAAGAATATTGTGAAATTTTCTGTTATATCTGTATTTGGAACAAGAGATTATAAGCTACTGTGATTTCCAAAATTTCCGAAACCCCGCCAATTCCGCGGGATTCCGAAATTAGAAAGAATTTTTGCATTCCGATTATTTTTTGAACGAAAACTGGAACCCGTTTTTTTTCTTCCAAAAAAATCATTTTCGATCAATTCTGTCCGATTTCCAAAATTTCCGAAACTCCGCCAATTCCGTGGGATTCCGAAATTAGAAAGAATTTATGCATTCCGATTATTTTTTGAACAAAAACTGGAACCCGTTTTTTTTCTTCCAGAAAAATCATTTTCGATCAATTCTGTCCGATTTTCACTCATAGTTGAGATGTCTACCTAACCCCACACACGAAGGGTGTTAGTTAAAAATATAAACAAAAAGGGAGAATTGTGAAAAAAACCTATGACACAGACACTTAATTAAAAAGGGACATCAAACCTTTTTGTCTTGCAAGTGTACCCACTCCTGTTCAAACTTATTTGCTAATAAGAAAAAAAAATGTATACCAAAATTACCCCAAACTCATTGAAACCCCAATTCAACTTCAATTTCATTATTCAAACTCTAATTTAATAACAATTTCATCAATTAACCAATTTTGACTGCCACCGCCGGTCACCGACGTTGACCTTTTTTTTTTGTAATTTTTTTCTTGAAAAAAAAATTTAGTTAGGTCAATCGCCGTTGAGCGCCGGTCTCCGGCTGTGATTTTTTTTTTTTAATATTTTTTAACTCTTTTTAGTAATAATATTGTGTTAATATTCATAATATTATCTGAGACAGTAATATTATTATGTTAATATTTGTAGTATTGTCTCAACCTACAATATTACTATCTCAAACAGTAATTTTACTATGTGAGACACTAATATTATTGTCGCAGATTGCATTATTACTTTCTCAGACAATAATTTTACAGCTTGTGCTAGTAATATTACTGTCTCAATGGTATACTATTGTCTGAGACAATAATATCTGAGACAATAATATTACTGTCTCAGCAGGCAATATTATTGTCTCAGACAGTAAAATTATTGTGTTGGTTGTTAAAAAAAATCAACGCCTGAGACCAGAGGTTAACACCGAACAATGGTCGGAAAAAAATTCATAATTTTTTTTTCAAAAATTGTGAAAATAGGTTAATGTGATATATTTGTTGATTTTAAATGCCTATGGAAATCTAGTCAACTATTGAGACAGACTACGTGTTACGACATTAGGTGTGGTAACAAAATTCTTGTGTTGTTACAGTAATAAACCTACTAAAAGCAGAATAAAAAACACAAGAATTTAATGTGGTTCGGATAAAAATGTACCCTACATCCACGAGGACTTGCAAAACTAGTTCAGATTTAAGTGTACATTAATAGGACTTAATAAAACAGTAAAGACTCCCTCTTTATGTGATACGCTGTTCTTGCACACGACTCGAACTTGTTGATAATCAAAGCAATTCCTCCTCCGCACTCTTGGACTTCCTCCAA